TTTCTTCGTTCATTTTTTCATTTTTTTACCAAATGCTGATTTAGGCACCTAATGCACATAATGTGACTATACTTGACAAGAAAACAGCGTGTATGACAGACAAACTGGTTGGATACTGTATTTCATTTCGTCTGATGCCAGAAAGAACTCGTTTTTTGAATATGATTGAGTTTATTGAGACTCGTGGCCAGCCACCTCCTCTTGTACATTTGTAAGATACCTATATGCAATTGCTCAGTGACTAGCCTTCCATGATTTGAGTATATCGTCGATGTTTTATATCATTCTTTTCTTATTGAATGCTCATAATTTTTCAGCGTAATCGGTTCCATAAGATTAACCATTACCCAGTGAGATTAGTAATTATGGTTCTAGAATTATGGTTCCTTGAATGATTCGGGTAAGAGTGTTTCTCGTTGTACCCTGTTTAGTTTTCCGCGTTCCGAGAAACGATAACTGCCTAGTTATTGGTGCGCAAAGCGTTCGCTTATGAACCGCTCTTGAGACCTAAAAATGTATAACTCCTATTTGGTCAGAAATGTGAAGAATTATGTGATGTATTTACAAAGTACCTAATGTTAATTAAACCTCACTTTGTTTATTCGTACAGAGAAATTCTTTCCCAGTATCTTCTTTGTTACGCCTTTTCAAGCATTTTTTGTGCATATATGGCTATATCTTATGGTGCATTTGTTATCATTCCCAAAAGCCTCATTTTAGTTGTTTTTCATGAATGCATATAGTGTTACGGAGAGATGAAGAGCTTATTATATTAGTGTTTTTAACGAATACACTGTAACTGGTTCTGAGTGACCTTGGTACCTTGGTTGGTTCTTGTGCCTTTTTGACATTTGCTAGGGTTTTGGGGGTGCAGCATAGAGTCGCACAATTCTAATTACATAATATCATCAAGTGGTGGTGATGTAGTGGCAAGTGGCACGCTTGCGACGCGCGCAGTCCAGAGGTCAAATCTCGAATTTCCTCACGCCCAGGCCAACCAAGCCC